CAAAACCCCCAAAACCCCAAAACCCCAAAACCCCAAAACCCCAAAACCCCAGATTCCATACATTAATTGAAGATTGACAAAGAGGTTATTTACAGGTAAAATTTACTTAAATGTCCTTAGTAATTATGTGTTTAGAGTATGGCAATGACTCTTCTCGTGTTATAAGCAAGATTCCAAGTTCTCATCGTCGAGTATTCTTAAGTATCTATAAACTGGCGGAGCTTTAAGGCTCCTTCATAAGACATGATCCTTTTCTGTCAATAACTCAAGCATATTTGTAAGAGTGATTTTTAGATCCACACTCTTAGACAAAAACATAGTTTTGACTACTGCTAGAGCTAGGGGTTTCATATTAGACTTTCAGTTCACCATTGAAATTGAGTTCTTACTGACAAGAGATAAAGCCCAGATACTTATCTTTTCTACTGGAAGAGATTTGAAACTCTCTTCCTTGGATCTATAGATATTTTCCAAGGAGTTTCACGCATCTCTGAACTTCTTAGAAAGAATCTCTTCTGGAGTTGATAGGTGGACAAACTCGAACTTCTGAGACAAAAATGTGTCAAACTCTCCCAAAAGTTCTTCTGGCAGGTATTTCAAATATTTTTGTAGTTGTTTAACAGTTTCTAAAGAAAAGATAGTGAAAACATTACCAACTGTTCATGTGTCTGAGCTCTTAACAAGCTTCTCAATTTGATCTAACGCTTCTAAAACATTGTTATACTGCTAAGGATTATTTAAAGGAAGAAGAGTTTATAAAATATATGCTAGAATGCATCATTTGATCCTAATTTATCTAGTATCTTAGCATGGCCTTCTATCTCTAGCTGGTTTATAAGCCCTTCTCTCATACTGGAAAGCAAAACTCAGCATAAGATTTACAATAGCTTCTTGACGTAGAGATAAGAATTAAGATTTTAAGATTATTTACTCAATTGTCAAAATCCCTCAACAGCTAAAGAAGGCTAGTCTACATTTATCTCGTTTAGTTACCAAATAAGGCTCGTATTTAACTCTCACCTAAAAATATTAATGAACCATACACTTTGAGAAGTTGAGACAGAGTCTCAACTTTCCTTTTATCCACCTGCCCAGTAGAGCTGGCCACGACAGCCATTTCAGAGGAGGAAGACAAATTGGTATTAATTTCCACATTTGTCTCTCCAAGTGTGGGACGCTCTTGATGTTTCTCTATTTTAAAGATATACTCTCTATCCACTGGTTCGCACTCTTTAGTAGTGTTAAGGCTTAGTTGGCTTTTAAAACTGGCAAAGAACTTTAAAAATCCCTTCTCTTTTACACCATAAGTTTTGCACAGAGTGCGTAAGTCTCATAGCAAGTTTTCACGTTTGAAAATAAGATTTATATAGCAGCTACTACGACCTTGTTAACCCTAGCATATTTGCAGTTAACACCAGAGGGTTTCTTCATAGTTTTGGGGACAGGGCTGCTCTGCTTGAACCGTAGGCATAGAGACAACGCTTCATCTTTAAGGTTGGCGTGCAATTCTCCTGGACATTTTTCGATTAATTTCTTATATTTCATCGTTTGTTCGTATTCATTAGAAGTTTGATAAACATTGCCTGTCTGTCTCAGCATGATTTTCTTAGCAATATTGTTGAGGTTGCCTAAATGATCATAACTTCTTATCTTACCATCTCTAAATCCAACCTGAGGTCTTGTTTCAGGGAGTTTGATAGGGATATCATTCATGAACAGTGCATTTTCTAGCTGAAATCCACAATGATATCAACAGCCATCTTCATCAATATCGAACTTTCCGAGGTTTTCTTGGCATTTTGGACACTTCTTTCCAGCTGTAATGTTCATTTTCGAAAATATTATTATGAGAAAGATCTAATTTATTGGGGTTTTGGGGTTTTGGGGTTTTGGGGTTTTGGGGTTTTGGGG